CACCTTACATGAAATCTTTAACACCCAGAAGAATGAATCTACCTGCCAGTCCGTCTTTGCCTTCAAGTGATGTGTGTTTCTCCTTCACTCAGACTGTTTTAATAACCTCAGTGAGACTGTGATCATTTTCCACATTAAGCCTCTGCCCTTCCAAATAATTCCTGAGTTGTTACTACTGAGATTGGGCCTCAGTTTGTCCCTATCACATTTTCCAAATTACTACTGACTTTCTATAGGACACGTGTTCATTTTACACATTTTGTTGCCATTGTTCTTACCACATATTTCCCCCTTACTTCCTGCCTCCTGCCCACACCTGGCTCTATGCCCGACACCTTTGCTCAGGTCTGCTGGTGCCAGCCACGTGACAGGAGAGGTCCTGACAGGAAGGGCCCACCATGGCGGCCGCAGGGGAGAGTTCCCCAGAACTCGTCCAGGCAGCCCTGCCCTCTGAGGTCCCCAGAGCAGGCAGGGATCCTCTTCCGCCAACAACACACCCACACCCACCCATAGTCCCTCTGCTCTTTGCTCACTGGAAATACCCCTGTGGTCTGTGACAACTCACCCACGTTCCAGCTTCCCGTGCTATGGGCAATTACTTCATTTCTTCTTTATATATTTCTTAACCTTCCAGTGTCCCAGCAAGAAGCAAAGGCAGGGAACAGGACCAAACACCATCCCAGCCTGCCCTCTCTTAGGGGGAGAGCCCTAGAAACAACTGAGGTCCTCCCCACACTCGCTAAAGTAGCAAATAAGCACAAACGAAGGCCGAGCACAAACGCTTCCCCTCCTTCCATGAAGATCGTGCTCAGTGGCAGTCGGAGCGATGCTGAATGACTACCATCCCTCACTCATCCCTCAGGACCACCGAGCCTGGGCTCCCACAGTCAGCCTGTGGCCGTAGTATCATGCACCCCTCCCTGCACAGGGGCAGCTCATGCAGAGGCCTGGGCTCCAGGGTCCCAGGGCCCTCTGGGAGCTGTCTTTCCTCTGATCTGCAACTGGGAGGCTTCCCCAAAATCCATCTCTTGGTCAAGTGGATCTGGTCTCCGGCAGTTGTTTCCTGAAGATCTGGGTTAGAGAATGGAGGAATCCTTGGTGAAATCTGCATTGTGTCTTTTTCTCCAAGGACACCTCCAAAGACATTTTAAAAATACATGTGGAAAAAACGCAGGTTTTCAGAAATAGCAAACTAACAAAATAAACTGCACATTTCCTCTTTTCTGTATAAAACAGAAAACGTGGTTATTTTTAGCTCCTGGAGCTCCACTAGGAATGAATGGGGTGCCAGTGCATACACAGAGAGGTCCTTTTTTAATCAGCTGCTCCAGCCCCACAAAGATGAGAGCCTTCAGAAAGGACGCATGTAAGCAAAGCATCGTTCTCACTGATGTCAGTGCCGGTCCAAGCAGGAACACACCAGCAACAATGAATGGACATGTGCTCCGGGAACCCCTCTTCTTCTTAGGCTGGATGAACCCAGCTAAGGTCTTGTAGCTCCTAGACTCAGTTTCCCCATGTGTAAAATCAGGATAGCGAAACTAAGACCTTAGGTTTATAATGAGTATTTAATAAGAAAATGTGCCCAAAGTGTCGGGCACACTCAATAAATGGCAATTTTTACTGTGATTGTTACCATCAGTGTTTACCTTTAGATTTTGGTGTCTATGTGATAAATCACCTCTGCAGGAACCAGTGGTCTGGAGAGTCACTCTTCCTTGGGGGAACTGACTGCACATCTCCTTCCCCTTGCCCACAGGAGGTCCAGGAAGAAGGGTGGCTTTGAGGATTTCACGAAGCAAGTATCAAGGACTTTGAAAGAGCTCCTGATGACCAAAGCTGGAATGATCCGAGGAAAAATTAATGGTTTTGAGGATGACCTGAGTTAATTAATGACAGTGTTAGATAATCACCCATAGGCCAAAACATCTAGGAGTCCATACTGATACAAATAAATATCCAAATACAGACATAAATGTGGAAGAAGGAACAGTGTTTTCCTACAGAAAAGCTCTTATTAATAAACGTAGAAGGGATGAAGGAAGTAAAATGTCACCACTAGGCAAACACCACCATAATAATTGTTTCCGGCCACTAGGCAAACATCTGAGGAGAAACGGGGCATCGGCACAGACTGGCAGCATCTCCCCCAAGATATGGACCGATGCCCCGGGTGGGTGGTGTTAAGAAGCAGTTGCTCTGCACATATTTTTAGACTGGAACTTCTCAAAAGCACTCTCCCTGCACCCCTTCCTCCACCTAGTTTTTTCTTGATAAGAGTCTGGTTTACTGCTAACTTCAGGATGATTCTGATGTACAATACACCAAATCCTTGAAACAAAGGGTTTCAAGAACTGAAGCCTTGCAATGAGGCTGAACGGAAACATGTAAAGGGCAGCACCTGCAACCATACATTTCAGCATCTTACCCACCGCTGACCCCGGGTCCCCAGGAAGGGCTCAGGGCGATGGCCCCTTTCTCATGACAGGTGAGGTCATGGTGGACTGAGAACGGACAGGCTAAACCTGCACAGTAAAGACTGAGCCCGGTGCCCACACCCACCCAGTTTCCCCAGAGGAGCTGGGAGAAAGGGACATGAGAGACAGCCTCCACGGGATCCACACATGCAGAGAGGGGGACAAAGGAGAGAAGCAATTTAAGAAATTCCACGAATATAAACCCCCTTAGGTATTTTCTGGAAACACCGTAACAAGGACTAGAGACGCTTTTCTCCTATTTTTAGATGAGGGTTGATGTTTCTCTGCAAGACAAGGGGTCCCAGATCCATGCAGGTGAGAGCCTTTTGAGGTCTTTTGGTGCAGACAGGATGCCCATTTGCATCCCTTCCAGTCTACCCTGTCAACAGTGGATATTATAATGTTTTAATCTCTACTCCTCTGGTAAGAGAAAAGGAATCTTGTTTCAGTTTGCATTTATTTGATGGCTTATGCAGGGGAACCTTCTCTCTCAGGTCAAGTGGTCATTTACGTTCCCTCATGTGTGAAACACTGTCCAAGTCTTTCTGTCTATGTCATTGTCAGAGTTTTCTCTCTCAAAGCTCTTTACTCATTAAGGATCCTACATTTTTTTTAAAGATTTTGTTTGAGACAGTGAGAGGAGAAAGAGTGAGCACGAGTCAGGGAGGAGCAGGCTCCCCACTGTGCAGGGAGCCCAATGTGGTGCTCGATCCCAGGACCCTGAGATCACGACCTGAGCTGAAGGCAGACACTTAACTGATTGAGCCACCCAGGCGCCCCAAGGGTCCAAAATTTTTTGTGTAAATATTGAGTATATGGTCACATCATGTCATTGCTCTGTTCTTTGCCTACTGCTTGTGCAGTATTTTAACTAGATATATGAATCCTTCCTGTTTTCTCCCTGGGGTCCTGTTCTGAGGTAGAAGGCCACATTCAGGGACACACGAACACAGGTGTTTTGAGAGCCCAGCCTATGGACTGAAGGACACAAATGAGCAAAAGCAGACATGGTAGGAGGGAAGACTCGCAGGCTCACCGGAGCAGGGCTGAGGCAGGAACGAGAATGCTGTGGGCACTGAGCACTCACTCTTCCAGTTCCCACTTCCTGCCGAAGCTGTTCTGGGACTGAGGATTCAGCGGGAGGGAAGCAAGACAGACAGCACTTGCTCTGGAGGGATTCGGTTTGGTGTAGGGAGGAAAAGCATTCAACCCTCTTGAGGTCTCCGGCTTGGCCTGAGAATCAGCGGGAGAAAGGGGCACCTGGGTGGCTCAGTTGGTTAAGCGACTGCCTTCAGCTCAGGTCATGATCTCAGGGTCCTGGGATCGAGCCCCGCATCGGGCTCCCTGCTCCGCGGGAAGCCTGCTTCTCCCTCGGACCCTCCCCCTGCTTGTGTTCCCTCTCTCGCTGTCTCTCTCTGTGTCAATTAAATAAATAAATAAAATCTTAAAAAAAAAAGAAATTATAGAATCAGCGGGAGAAAAATGCAAAAGTTTATTTAATATAAGTTTTCCACAACATGGGAGCCCTCATAAGGAGAATGGGGACCCAGAGAAATGGCATAACCGAGATGTTTCATGCTAGTGTGAACAGAGGAAATTGTGGGAAAGTATCCAAAATGCCTGGATGGGAGTTATCATAACAAGGTCTCAGAACTCTCTTGGCCTGGACTCCCAACCCCTTGGCAAGGCCACTTCCTTTCTCCTGGGGCAGGGATGGTACCTCTCCCCGGGTCTGTCTCTTGCTCTCAGGAAGAAAAGGGGAGATAAGGATGTTCTTCTTGTACCTGCTGTTTTCCGAGTGTCTTTCGCTCAAATATCCTTATGCCAAAGTGGGCAGGTGGAGGAGATGGGGTGGGGGGGCAGGTGGGGGAGGCACTCCTGCAGGCAGCAGTCATTTCATCTCTGTCACCATGTCCTACCTGTCTATTAACAGTACCTGGGAAAGTCTGAGCTTGTGAGGCATCTAAAGAAAAGGCACTCCCCCACCATCTCTGCCCAGGGTCCCGAAGGCCAACACCAAAGCAAACATGGCTCAGGGCTGTGGGGTGATGGTGGGTGGTTGCTGAGCTTCTGCTTCTGGGCTAGGTGCTCACCCCACTAGGACCTGAGGTCAGGGGACCCCACTGAGAGCCTCACTTACTCTAGGAGACAAGCACTTGTGGCCTCTGAATGCCATGCTGTCTTTGGATCTAAATGCAGTAGATGCTGTGTTCTACCTACATTTCCAGCTGACCATCTACCATTTTTATGCACCTCAGCTCCAGGTCTTTCACTCCCAACACCCAGCTTCTGAATACGTGACAGAGGGTTGCCCTCTGGCCACCAGAACCCCCTTCCCCTAAGCTCCTGGAGGGATAGAACTGTCTGGGGATCACAACCCTTAACTAGTCATTGACAGGAAGGGGTAGGAACCTGAACGCCGCCAGACAGGGACACCTGTGAGCTGTAACCTGCAGTCTCCAGAGTCCCTCCATGAGATGGGAGCCCAAGTCACTCCCTGCTCCCACCACCACCCCCCATCTGCCTCCCCTCCCATCCCATGTCTCCCAGTGAACACACCCTTTATAACCCTTTCAAAAATTCCTCATATCAGAGTCTGCAACTGAAACCCCAGACTGAGACACCCACCCACATTCACTTGCCAGTATCCGAATTCTCTTCACCAAAAGCTATCAGAGTGAGCAGACAGTGGTGATGGAAAATTCGAGACAGCTTAGGTGAACAAAGCGGTCACTCCATGAATCCATAAGAAGACGATGCTCAAAAACATCCTGTGGACCAAGGAAAGGGATCCAGTTACAAAAACAGAAAAAGGAGGTTGCAAACCAAAGTGTATGGTATGATTCCATTTTCCAGGGGGGAGAAAGCATTTGTCTAGGACTGTATGGTAAAGAACTTAACCTTGCCCAAAGAGAGGCTTGGCCTTGCCCTCAGTTCCTGAGGGGGGATGGCTAAGCCCTACAATGCCTTTGTTTGCCTGGGGCCCCTGGGCCCCACGAGAAAGTCTGTGACTTGGGTGGGGGTCTCGAGGCACCCTCCAGAGGGGCTAGAGGCAGATCAGGCACAAGAGCAGCAGACGATGGAGCCCCAGGAAAGACTGTGGATGCTGAGCTCCAGTGAGGACACAGGGATGCCAGGAAGGAGAGCCGTCTGCAGACAGCTGGGAGCTCTGAGTCTGGACTCTGCCCTGTGTGCCTTCTCCTTGGGTTATTTTAACCTGTATCCCTTTGCTGTAGTAAACCAGAGCCATGAGTACATCAGCTCTCAGTGAGCTCTGAGTGGCCTACTGGGGACCCTGCACTTGCGGTTGTGCACACGGACTGTTCCCTCCAACCCTGCAATAATGGTAACTCCACATACTTGACTGCGTTTGTGAGACTGGAAAACCATCCAGAAGCATGCTGAGAGTAAATACCTCTGGGGTGCACCCCACGTACGTGTGTTCTCGTCTATTTGCATGTGTTTGTATGTAAGCACCTGCAACAATCCCACCTCTGCTCTACCACTCACGTGGTTGCGGGCTCAGTGAAAAGCAGTAGACCACTTTCCACTGTGAGCTCAGGCGGCACACCTCGGTTTGCTCCTAAATCTGTTTATGCTGCTTGTTCACATTCTCCCTATTGCACAGTTTGTTTGAGATTACGTAAACCAACTACCTGTTAATGTAAAAATGAAAGAAAGTTGTTTCTATGAAGACCAAGATAAATGATTTGGAGAACCAAGATAAAGGCAAGTTGAAGTCGCTTTAAAATTGATTTTGAATTAGGTACAGGCAAGATAACTCTTAAAACAGAAAATAATTTTTGAATATTTGGAAGAATTCTGGTCTTAGATTTCTTTACAAATACACTTGATTTCTCAGTTCACTTCAGAAAAATACTGAAACTGCACATCTTAGGAGGGCAAATTAAGGATATGGTTTATATTAAAAACGACTAAAAACCCAGTCCTCAGACCGGTGCTTACTCAGAGTCTTCGGGCCCGTGTAGAAACATCCAGAATGGCGACTGGAGCTAGAACTGGCCATCTGGGGACGGTGGCCAGCGGTGCGGTGGCCTCTGGGCAGGGTACTGACCAGCAAGGGATGAGGGGACTTTCTGGAGCAATGAAACTGTTACACACCTTGACCGATGTTCTACATTTGTCAAAACTTACCAACATGAGGTGTTAAAACCTGAAGGTTTCACTGTATGAAATGTGTATCTCAATAAACTTATGTCTATTGTTATTTATTGTTTATGGTTAAAAATTAATGCACAGCTACAAATTTTAAGTTAAAAATACATGTAAAGTATGTTTGCTTATTTTTTTATTACCTATTTTCACCAGCTTTTATAAATAACTGACAGATCCTGCTGGCTTCAGAAAGTATTCCTTCTGTTACTTTCACAATGAAGAAATAAATGTATTTAAAAGATTTATTTATTTATTTTAGAGACACGTACAGAGAGAGAAAGTGTGCACAAGCGTAGGGGGGAGGGGCAGAGGGAGAGGGAGAGAAAATCTCAAGCCGACTCCGTGCTAAGCATGGAGCCCAATGAGGGGCCTGACCCCACGACCCTGAGATCATGACCTGAACCGAAATCAAGAGTTGGACACTGAACCAACTGAGCCACCCAGGCGCCCCAGGAATAAATGTATTTTAAATAAAATAAAATAAAATTTAATAATTTTCATCAGTATCAGGGGTAGAGGCAGGATCCTAACCAGCCACCTTGGAGTAAGAACTTTTCCACTTAGAAATCTGACTGAAGTTGAGGGCACATAAAGGTCCTGGAGAGCTGCCTAAAATACAGAAAATGTCCCGTCTTTTAGAATTCTAACATGGTAGAGAAAACCCTCCTTTCATGAAGGGTGACCGGTGCCGAGGATCCAGGAGGGGAGCCTGCCTGGCCCCAGCTCTCTAACAGGACACCCAGGGCCATGACATAACTCCTGGAAGGCCACCCAGGTAGGCCTCCTTGCTGGGCAGGGGGTCACCACTGTTAGCAGTGGTGATGATGTGAATACAAATAAGATGATGTTATTAAACACTGTTTATCTGAAGAGACATTTTCACCCTTGTACCTGCTCCAATCGGACGTGTGGCCTCTGACTGCAGATGGTCTGCAGTGATGATCACAGAAGCAAATGGGTGCCGTGAAGCCCCCTCCCTCCCCTCTGCATCTGCCTCAGACTTTCCTTCTCATCTTTCCCTCAGAAAGGAGCGGCAGAGACCCAACACCAGGCTGACAATGATTGCAGCTTTCTCTTAAGGAGGACTGCAGGGAAGGACCCAGGGCAGGCTTAACACGGCCAGAAACACTTGCAGTTCACATGCATGGTACTGACTTCTGGAGGGAGTCCTGTGCACATGAGACAGTCAGTGCTTTCTCTGAAAGCCCAGGCGTGATACAGGGGGTGAAGGCCACTTGCAAGTGAGGCAATGAGCCCAGGGGCAGATGGCTGCAGCCCTGGAGGCTGGGGTGGCCCTCCTGGGTCTGGGACCCTGGCGCATCTGTGGCAGGGACACTGCTCTGCCCTTGGGCCCTCAGAGGCCCAGGCTGACCCACACTTACAGGGAGCAGAGGATGGAGCCCAGGCTAGTGTTCTGGGCAGCTGAAGGCAATGCTCTCCCAGGGGTCACTTCCCATCCTCCATCTCCCAGAGAGGAGGCTTCTAGCCACTGTGAGACTCTGCCCACCCTGGAGTTTAGACTCTACTGGGGGTCCTGCGAGATCTGAGGGGACTGGCTCACTCTTTTCAGGAGTGGAGACAGGAAGACCCCTCAAGTAGGCTCCCCAGGGGAGACAGACTGAGTTCCTGACCTTGGCCTGAGAGCCCAGTCCTGCCTGCAGGGCTGATTCTGGCCTCACCCCAGGACCCAGGAGGTGCCTGAAGGGAATGCAGTTTTCACCAAATCCCAGTGAAGAACGACACTTCACTAATTGATGGGATAAAGGAACAAATTGCTGAGAGGTGCTGGGTGCAGGCCCCTGTCCTTTGGGGTGGGGGTCACTCGTGCTGGTGTAAGACCCTCCCCACCAATGTCAGCGCTCAGCATAGACTCAGCATAGACCCAGCATAGCTGTGCCTGCTCTTGGCCATCTGCTGATACCAGGCCCGGCTCTGAGGCCTGCAGTCCTGTCCCTCTGCAGCTGCTCTGGGCTGCGCTCACACGGCGTTAATCCATACGCTTCCAGGATCCCAGGGTCAGGGACCAGGGAAAGCAAGGAGGTCCGTGTGTCGAGATGTCTGGAGACAGCAGACCAGTGGTGCCCTAAGAGGGACCCCCTTTGGAGATTCAGGTCGGGAGGGCACCAGCAAGCTCCTGCCACTTATGTGCGTGGGGTGGGGGTAAAACACAGGCACCCAGACTACCTACAAACTTTCTTCAAGCTAACACCTTATGGGAGGTGACTTGGCACAAGCCCCTACAGACTGCCACACAGGGACCCCGTGCCCGCAGGCCAGCCTGGGAAAGAGCAGCTACAGGGTGCTCTCCCTCCCTCCCAGGCAGCTGGGGCCTCTTGTCTGGACACACCACTCGGCAGAGGCCACTCTCTCATTACAGCATTTGCAGGAACACACTCCTTCCAAGGGAGTAGGTCATGCACAGTGGACACGGAGGGACGGTAGCTACTACATCGGACCAGGTCCCTTTTCAGTGTTGGCATCGCCAGGATTACAGCCTTGTCAGAGGGGCTTCTATCTAGTTTTCAAATTACTGGTGATCACTTCTTATTAAGGGTAATCTTCCAATTTGAAGAGAAGACTTGGAATACATATGCAAGATTCAGGTAGGACTTTGAATACGCGCCCTGTTGAGTCTGCACGGCTGAGGTGCAGGGGCTTGTGGCCTGACTCTGGCCATGTCCAGACAAGCCTGACTGCTGTGGGCAGCACTTAGCTTGGTACCAAAGAAGTCAGCCTCTCCAGAGGGAGGAGGAATGTGTGTAGGGCTGTGGTTTTGTCTTAGCATTCCTGAGTCTAGACATGGGATAAGACCTTGGGATGATTCTCAGGGTCTGGAAGGAAAGCCAAGGGCATGCAATGTGAACACAGCGTGTGCAGGAATGTGGGCGGGCAGCAGGGACTGTGACTGTACAGCAATGCACCTGTGCCTCTGTGGACCTTCTCAGCCATCACCACCTCTGAGGAGGCCAGATGGCCAAACGCCGTGCACAGTTCCTGAATCCTCACAGTGGAGGCCTTTTAGACTGAAAGAAACTGCAGAAACTCATTTTCAGCTTGGTGGCCTCGTGTCCCACTGAGGGCAACCCTGTATGCAGGGGAGCATCCCCACTGGGCAGGCCCACTGGCCCACATCCTGTGCACGGTCCAGTTTCCTTTCCCAGACACTGCAGGGTCCCCATCCTCTGCAAGAGAAACCCCCAAATCAGAGGGCAGTGGAAACAGCAGGGAAAGGGGTTCTGCTGTCTACCTACACCAAGTGGCATGAACCAATGTGCAGTGTTACATACGATTTACACAACCCTGAGCGTCAAAAGGCCCCATGATGATTCTTTCTTCACCAAGATGCCCTGACCTAGGCTACAAGAGGTCACCTGATTTCTTTCCAAAACATCCTAAGTGAACATTACAGCATTTCTCCATGTATTTTAATGTCAAGGTACTCCCACCACACCCCATTTCTGTGATTTGTGGTGAGCTCTGCTTAGGAAATTTTCTCCTTGGGGCGCCTGTGTGGCTCAGCTGGTTAAGCATTTGACTCTTGATTTCAGCTCAGGTCATGATCTCAGGATTGTGAGACAGAGCCCCGCTTTGGGCTCTGCACTGGGCATGGAGCCTGCTTAAAATTCTCTTCCCCTCCCTCTCTCTCTCTGCCCCTCCTTCCCCCCCCCTCCCTCTCTTTAAAAAAAAAAAAAAAAATCCTCCTTAAGCTCATGGAGGGACCTAGGGCTCCCTGGGAATCACATGGGATGTCCTCCTTTAAGACTGCATTGTACGTATCAGTAGCTCATTTCCTTCTCCTGCTGAATAACAGCCTGTTGTATGGATAGAACACAGTTTAGCCATTCCCTACATGGGCAGGGGGGCTGTTTTCAAGTTTGGTTATTATGAACAAAGTTGTTGTAAACATTTCTGTACAAGTCTTTTTCAGACATGGATCTGAAATGTCATTTCTCATGGATAAATACCTAAGAGTATATACCTAATACCTAAGAGTAGACTTACTGGCTCACAGGGTAGGTATGTACTTAATTCTGTAAGAAATTGCCAGAACCTTTCCCAGAGTGGCTCTACCATTTTACACACCACATCCCTATCTGTGCTGGGTGTCTAGTGGCATCTTATTATAGTGAGCCTAATTTACATTGCAGCAAAGTCCAATTTATCAGTAAGACAAACAAGCTGGAAGCTTAAGATGCTACACGTAGACTCACCAAATGATGCGGCGGCTTCCCCTGCAAATAATTTACCCAAGAGAAAAGAACACATATGTCCACACAAAAGCCTGAACAGGAGTGTTCACAACAGCCCAAACCTGAAACACCCACATGTTCATCAGCAGGATGGCTAGAAAACTTGGATGACAGCACTCAGCAATACAAAGGGGCCGGCTGATAGCAAAGACGTGCTGAGTGAATAAACCACTAACCAGTACATGCTATATGATTCCACATATATGAAATTACAGAAAGTGAGGCCAGATGCTTGGTTCTGGGATCTGTTCTGAAATCATAAGCTGTACTGCAGTTGTGTTATTAACCTAGCCCCACCTTCTCTTCTTTTGTTTCCTTAAGCCCTGTGCATGACTCATCATTAACTTTGCTCTTGTCACTCTACCCTGTTAGCACATTGATTATAAGAATCTGATGAAAAACAGATGATAACATTTTTCTTAAAACTCTCTGATGTATACCAGGTCCCAGATGGTGCTTCACTGTCAGGAAGAATGTGTACCTTCAGTGGTTTCAAGACTGCCCCCTCAAGTTTCAAGAAGCCCACAAACTTCCCTTCACATACTCAACATTCCCAACCACTCATATGTAAACTGCCCCAAGATTCAACAAAACAAGGCAGCTTTGGGAATGACCCCCTGCCTCCCTTCCGATAACAAAGCCTGCTGTGCTTCAAAGCCACTGTCTCAGTCATTGGCTTACTGTGCATCAGGTACATGAACAACAGGACAAATCCCCACCGGGAAGGGAGGAGGATCAGAGGTGCCTGGGACTGGGGTGTGAGGGGCCGGTTGGGAAGGAGCACACAGCCACATCTCCGGTGAGGGAGAGGTTCCAGATCTCTACTGTGGTCATGGTCACATGGGCGCTCACATGTGCCGAAGTTCGTGAAAACGTACACCCAAAGTGGTCGCATTTTATTTTACGTAAGTCATACCTCAATAGAGCTGATCTTTAAGAAGATGCAAATACTGTTTCTGGCTCCACATATCTTCATTAAGTGATCCCCCTCTTCTACAGCAGCACCACCAACCAAGTCACACCTTTGCCTCGTGTCTACCATCTCGGAGACTGTCTCGACAACAGAGACACCCTCTTCCTTCTCCGTGGTTGCCTGCTTTGCCACTCTTCCTGTACTGAACATGGCAGAAACTTCAGGAAACCACGTGTTCACGCATTCACTCAGCCGGTCAGGCAACAAGTGTTTCTTGTGTCTGTTAGTTCCAGGCACTGTGCTAAGAGAGACTGAAGTGTAAATAAGACACAATGTCCACCCTGTATCTTAAAAGAGGCAGGGAGACACAAGGGAAATCAGTACAGAATGGCATCAGCAACTAGCTGTGCAAGTCCAAGTCCTGGGGCACAGTATGCCCACAAAGGAGGGATCCGTGTCCTCTCCAGGGTCAGGTCCAAAGAGATGCCACGTGAGGTAGGTCTCAAAGTGCCGATGGAGGAACGAGGGCGCACGTGAAAGGGCATCAGAGAGATGAGGAATATGGAGATGGCACGACGAGCAGACCTGGACTATGGGGAGACCCGTCCCTGAGGGCGAGCTGGGGCTCAAGGTGCCGGCCCGGGGCAGCACACACCCCCCCTTGTACATCCGGACACTGTCCGCAGGTGTGGCCTCTGACACCTCATTTCTCTGACGTGGGAATATAAAAGTACAGTTTCCTTACTTTAAAACCGGCCACATACTTGAGCGTGTTCATCTGCCACGACCTGCCGACCCCAGTTGCTCCTTCAGAGACAATAATGGAGAAGGAAAGCGGTAACAAATTCCCGATTTACCTGTAACACCCAACTCTGGGCCGGAGGGGCGGGCAGAACTGCTGGGGGGGGGGGGTCACACACGATTTGTAAAGGTTTAATCCTGCAGGGAACAACTATAAAAAGACGAAAAAAGATTATTTAGAACCCTAATCTAAACTCGCGAGTAGAAGTACCAGAAACTACACCGTGTTCATGTCCCTCGAGGACCTACTTTTCTCAACCCAGCTGCTTCTAAGGAAGAGTCATTAAAACCGAATTCCAGCAAAGCACACACGACACCCGCACGGGGAAGGCCCCCAAAGGAGCGTGAGCAAGAACGTCGCTCGGCCCTTCTCTGCACACGCAGACGGTCGTCCACAGCGGGCAGGGCGCTCACGCCCGCCGCCTCCGCACGCGAGGGGCTCAGCCCGCCCCCACCCCCTCGACCCCCGTCCGTTCCCGTCCGGGGAAAGCTCGTCAGCCGGCCTCCTGCGCCGGCAGCGGGAGGGGCAGGCTCCGGGGACCACCGCCGGAGGGGGGGGGGGCCCCTCCCAGGGGCGGGGGGGGGGGGGGGGGGGGGGGGGGGGCCCCGCGCCGCGCAGAGAGGGAGTCGTGGCTGGGGAGGAGAGCTGCCACGTTCGCGGCGGCTGGGGGCTGGGGGCTGGGGCGGGAGTCACCTCCTCGCGAGGTGACAGGGCAGGGGACGCGGGGGTTCCCGTCGCCTCTCGATGGCGTCACAGGCCTGCGCGGACCCCGATGCTCAAAGGCCCAGGCGCGGCCGCGCACAGCCCGCACCAAGAAATACCTGCGGGAGAGGAACCCGCGGGCGAGGTGGGCGACACACGCTGGGGGCCAGAGGGCCAGCCTCGCTCCTCCGCCCGCTTGGCTGCCTCAGTCGCGGGCCTCCAGGCCGCGCCCGCGCAGTGCCGTCTTCCTCGCCTTCGCTCCTCAGGCACGTTGGAGTCTCTCGCTGAGCGGCCGCGTGCACCGGGCAACTCAAGTCGGGACTTTTGGCCCGCCCAGTTCGGAGGCACACGCTGTACCTGCGTTTTCCGCCTGCAGAGGGCCCACCCCTCAGCTCGGCCGACGACCATGTGGCCCCGCGGACCCCACTGTCTCCGTGTGGGCACGCAGGAGCACCGCTCCTCACTCCCCGTCCCCTAACGTCTTGCAGCGGCCATGCTGTGCGGCTCTGCGCGTGCGCCGGGCCCCTCGCCCCTTCAGCTTCCGCTAGTCGTGCGCGGCTCCGGTACCACGCTCTGCGCGTGCGCAGAGCTTCTTCCTCCCAACCTGCCCGGACGTCGAGCGGCGCTGTGCGCGGCTCTGCGCGTGCGCTGAGCCGCACCTGATCCCGGCGGTTTACGTGGCAGTATCTTGGGCCGCTGCGGCACTGCGCTCTCTCTGCGCGTGGGCGGTCTGATAGCCGTCTTGGCGTCTGGGTCTGCGCGTCTAAGTGAGAGCGCTCACACACACGGTGCTTGCAGTTTTTTATTTTTAGCGTAAGGTTTCTCCAACAAAGACGTCACAAGTATTATGTTTTCCCTAAATAAACATGATTTTTTTTTTTTTAGAAAAAGATTTATTTATTTGAGAGAGAGCATGAGTTGGTGGAGGAGCAGAGGTAGAGGCTCCAAGCAAACCTCGCCTGAGCCCGGAGCCCAGTTCCATCTCACAACCCATGAGATCGTGACCTAAGCTGAAACTAAGTCAGATGCTTAACCTACTGCACCACCCAGGTGCCCCACACTAATGCTCTTTTTTGAACATACCTTTGACGGGTCACTTTAATGTCCTCCTGGTGGCCTCCGTACCACTGATCATCTTGGCTCATTTAGGTTCTAAAAACCCGAGGCCAAGGAAGGTCTTTGCTGCCTTGTGGGGTCTTTGTATTGTTAGCTGGGGAGGTCGTTTCTCCCAGGGGGTCTCGGCCGCCAGGAGCCCCTCCTGGACTTTGTGGGGTCAGGAACCTGGGGAGTGGGCGGAGACCCCTCAGGGCAAGTTCACTGACTGCTCAGCACCAGAAGGCACTGTGGGAAAGTTCCACTTTTAGGTGGGGAAACTGGTCCTGGGGTGTGAACTAGGGGTGTCCCAGAGATGCCTGCTTGGCCAGAGTTAAGTCCTCACCACCTTTGCTCCAACCCCAGCCCTGAGAACTTGCCCTCCAAAGGGCAGCCTTTCTTTGATGGCCCTGGTAGATGCATGGTGATTCACAGTCCAGGAAGTGGGTGGGCGAGGCTGGGTCAGAAAAGCCAGAGAGCATGGCCCTGTGCGGGGTACAGAAGGGCCAGTGTCAATCGGGGAGGGGGGGATGCTAAGTTAACCTGCACAATAATGGGGAGAGAAGGTACGGGCCATGGCCAGACTCTGTGCAGTCTGGGGCTGAGGGGTCAGAGTGACGCCTCCTTTTCCCTTTGGGTGGGAGATGGCCTGGGTGGGGCTGCAGCAACTCCTCCTGTTCAGAGTTTGCCCACCTTGAAGGTGCCCCAGAGCTACCTCACACCCCACGCCCCCTGAGGTGCCCACCCATCTCACCACTTGTATTTCCTGAGACTTGGGGGCTGTGACGATGGGATGCTTGGGTGTTGGGATGGGGAGGGGGTGGGAGGTATGTCTTGTCCTAATCACCGTATATGCAGGAGTGATGTATTAGTTAGTACAAGACAATGAAAACAAAGGCCAGAGAATCACAGCCAGGCTGCAACCCAGTGCTTGGAATGAGAACGAGCAGTTTAGGCCCAGGCTGAAATGTAGGCAGGGAGGGAGGACCTCCAGGAGGAAGGCAGGGGACCTGACACCTCCAGGGTGGGGAGGGGTGAGGGCGACTTGGACCTGGCAGATTGAAGGGGGCCAGGCAGCCAAAGCAAAGTCCACATAGGCAAATTTGAATGTGTCCTGCATTACAGATGAGAGCAATATTAGACCAACATAGATATGTTATCCATCCCAGAATGTCGCCTGGAATTTCTATTATAATTTGGCTTTAGATTATATTTCTGCTTGATCTGTCTCTTTCTCTTAAAAATGGAATACAACATGGCAATTCTGGCGATCTCTGTCCTGGCTCATCAAGATTTTAGTGCACTAAGATTTTATTGGCTAATTAGAATTAATTGTAATTCTGGAATACTTAATAATGCCATTATGCAATTTACCCTGTTGCCCATGGAGAATGAGATCAAGCGCATGTGGCGCAGACAGGATCTGTTCCTCATCGGCCACTCTAATGGGGTCACATAAAGTAGCCCTGGGCGGGAAGGCCCAGTCACTGAACTGCCTCCACAGCCCTTCCAGAAGCTCCACACTCAATTCTGGGGAGTTGAAAGCACTTTAGAGATCAAGGGAATAATGACAGACATAGATGAGACAGCTCGCAGAATCTGCTAGCATGATCTTTTTAAGATCCATCAGCAACAATGTCAAGCCCAGATGGCTTGGTCCTGAGTTCCCTCATCATCAATATACCTTTTATCCTGGTTCCTCTGAATTATTTGTGCAGAAAACTGGTTTTGCCTAGCTGGGAAGACCTGTTTATATGCACATTTCTTTTTAGACAACACCTCTATTGTCACAGATTTTTTTCCTATCTATTTTTTTTTTTTAAGATTTTATCCATTTGACAGAGAGAGACACAGCGAGAGAGGGAACACAAGCTCGAAGAGGGAGAGAGGGAGAAGCAGGCCTCCTGCCGAGCAAGGAGCCCGATATGGGGCTCGAACCCAGGACCCTGGGATCATGACCTGAGCCGAAGGCAGACGCTTAACGACTGAGCCACCCAGGCGCCCCTTTCCTATCTATTTTTGAGTAATTCCTGGGAATAACATAGAAGAGGCATTAGAAATGACTGTCTCCTGGATGCAGATCCCAGTTTTTCCTCCACTGCACTCTCCTACAATGAGGTGAGAGTGGAAACTGCTATACTTTTAGATGAAATTTCTTTGGGAAATAGTTTCTATTTTATCAGTAATTCTCTGGCTTTTTTTGGGGGGGGGGCCTCTGGCTAATATTGTAAACCAATATTCATAACGCTACCTAAGAGCTTTGGGATAAATGGATTGTAATGGAGAAAAGCTGTTCTCCAGTGCGCATTAGAAGCAGGCCTTGGCAAATAAGGGCACAGAGAAGATGCTAACAAACAAGAGGGATGGCCCCCAGGGCCAAGAGAGAGCATCTGAAAACAAGACAGGCATGAACACATATCTGCGGCGGGACAGCACCAGGGCCTCCCCGGAGAAGAACTGGGCTGTGCTAGCTGATCCGCACACATCTAGGAGCGGTCAGTCTGTCCTGTCCGTCCTCGACAACATGAAGATCTCGGTGCCCTGCCGGGCCCTCTGCCTCTTCAGCTCCTCTCAAATAGCTGTTTTTATATCGCAAAGCGGATAAGATGTCTCTTTTGTTCCATAACCATAATTAAGTCTCTCTAGGTCTTGGGTATCTGTGTGGTAGTGTGTTTAGGGGCCAGTAGAGCAGTCCCCCCCCCCACCCCTCTGCAGGCCCAGAAGCATGAGCCTGAGCCAATGGGAAGGAAACATCGCCAGCGCTAAGGCCAAATACTTTTTCCGTATAAGCCATTTTTTTTCTTTAAAATCATGCCACATTTAAATTTCTTTACACTAATAACTTTATCTCTCAAAATTATAATTGCTGTTCTTTTCGTACAAGAGATTAAATAAGGTCAACATATCACAGTCTCCTTTTCAGCAGTCTCTAGGAGGCTGGTTCTTTCCGGGGACCCCATCCCTTCCCTCGCCATCCAGAATCTCCAGGACCCTGGCCTGTGGCTACTGCCATCCCTGAGCCGTCCCTTCCTTCCCACAGCCCTGCTGCCCTGGTCTGGGACCTGCTCTGCTCCACATCTGCATTCACAAGGGAGCTAAGAGGTTGCTGCAGCAGGAGCTGAGAAGTGCCAGCCGGGCTTACCACTTGCACCCCAGTGGTCTGGTCTTTCTGGAGACATCTGGGGAAACACTGGCTCATGGGCACTCCTGAGGGAGGAGAAGGCTGGTCCTGGGGGCATGCCACCAGTCCCTGCCCATGACCCAGTGTGGGTGGCTGAGGGTTACTTCTGCAAATGCCGAGACCAGGCTGGGCTGTTCACACCCCCAGAGTAGAGATGGAGGACTTTGAGGGTTTTGTGGGGCAGGAGTATTTGCCCAGGCTGCTTCTGAATAGAGCCTCCCACCCCCCGGAATACACAGGGATTGTGTTTGTGACATGCGTGCAACTCACAATGCCCAGGGTAATCCCAAAGATGTAAAGGGGGGTATGGTCAGGGGAAGTCTGTGCAGCTAGTGACAGTCCCTACAGGCCACTGGCCCCAGCCAGCCTCCTCTTGGGACTAGCCCAGGAGACTGCACAGCTGTGCACGGTGGGGCCTCCTGATCACTTGTGGCTTTTCCTTGGAGTAAAGAGGCAGCCTATATGGCCCCGTTCGAGTCCTATCAGCAGCTGCAGGAACTTTCCCCACCAACTCTCCACCGTCCACATGGGCAGCCTTGCTTTCAGGCTATAATTAAGGAAAAAATAAACATTACTGGAGACATTGCAGGATGGGACACTTGCTGCTCTCTTCTGAAGCTGTAAACGTGATGGATGACCCATTGTTGGATGATTATGAAAGATGAACCAGCTTACGAATTTCAACAGAACCTAAAATATCATCAATGAGCACAGTCAGCTTAATGGTTCATAAACCAGCTGCTTAATTGTTGTGACACAGAAGGTCGAAAAAGATTGCCTGGCATTTTTCCAAAAGAGTTTAGCCGAGTACATGGATTTCCTCAGTAGCCTTCCGGTTCTTTCTCCTTCGTGACCTACAGCCAGTGCTCTGGAGAGTTCCGGAACTGCCTTCTATGCAGGACATGCTTTTCTTGGGCAGCAGCATGGCTGTGCATTTGGGAGCCAAGTGCAGGTGACCGGCCTGGCCAGGGCTCAGCTCACATGGAGCTCAGGGCCCTGTGGGCAGGTGACACAGTCCATCAGAGGGCACAGAAGTCACAGGTGCCTGTGAGTGTACAGCACCCCCTGGGCACAGACTCTACCAGGATCCAAAGGCTGGTCGCAGAGAGCAGTGATTAAGAGAATGGGCTTGGGACAGGACAGATATGCCATGCACCTGCTGCACGACCTTAGGCAGGGGTGATGACACCCACTTCAGGGGGCCATCAAGAGGTACAACATAATGAGATGCCTCGTGTGAGGAGTGTACCTAATCCCAGCCCG